TTAAAAGGGTTTTTCGCCTGCCGTCTGTCTGCAGACTTGTCAAAGCATTAATTCATGGTTTTTACTAACCGGTATCAGTATGTTGTTACTTCGGCATCATTTTGAAACGTGTATTACAATTAATTCACGGTCAAATATGTTCATCTTGTTGTAGTTGTAGCCCCCTTGTCAGCGATTCTCTCTCTAGTTTAGCATACTCAGCCCGACTCAGCCTGGTTGTTCCTGGCCCAAGAACCACAATTTAGTCGGGCCAGAAAAAAGGTGAAAAAGTAGCCCCGGGCCAAAACTAAGCCAAGTGGAAACACAACCAAAAACGGGCCCCGCACGGCTCGGCACGCTTAAAGCGAGCTACCCGCTGCAGTGGAAACGCGCCATTATTGTCCCAGTCCAGCCCTGGCCTAGTGTATCCGCTTCAAGACACTGGTACTGGCCTACCATGCTGATAATGGATCAGGCCCTTCCTACATCCAGGACTTGGTTATGCACAAGCACTTCGTTCTGCAGTGGCCAATTGGCTTGCTACTCCCTCGCTGTGAAAGAGACCCAGGTATCCCTCAACAAAACATGCCTGTTTGCTATCCTGGCCCCAAAATGGTGGAACAAGCTCCCCATTGATATCAGGACATCAGAGAGTCTAAACGATTCCGTTGCAGCAGAAAACTCACATGTTTTGACGACACCTTGGTCAAAAAGATAAATAATATTAAGATTCTCTCTTCTGCACGTTGCACTTAAAAAGGTTTGGCTTTAAGTGAGCTAATGCAGTAGTACTAAACCTGGATTGGTTATACACTGAACAAAAATATAAACGCAACACTTTTGTTTTTGCTCCCATTTTTCATGAGATGAACTCAAAGATCTAAAACATTTTCTATATACATAAAATAACCATTTCTCTCAAATATTGTTCACAAATCTGAAAAAATCTGTGATAGTGAGCACTTCTCCTTTGCCGAGATAATCCATCCCACCTCACAGGTGTGGCATATCAAGATGCTGATTAGACAGCATGATTATTGCACAGGTGTGCCTTAGGCTGGCCACAATAAAAGGCCACTCTGAAACGTGCAGTTTTGCTTTATTGGGGGGGTCCCAAAACCAGTCAGTATCTGGTGTGAGGGTTAGGGTTAGGGCAGTGGTTCTCAAAGTGGGCAGAGGCATGACAGGCATGAGACCAGGAGGAAAAATGGTTATATAAAAAAAAAAAAAGATTAAAAAAAAATCATATTTTGAAAAATTCGAAAATGATATGATACAGTTCTATTACATCTGGGTCTCTGTGTTTCATTAAAGCTTGGCTCTGTGTTTCATTAAAGCTCGGCTGTGTGTGTGTGTGTGTGTGTGTGTGTGTGTGTGTGTGTGTGTGTGTGTGTGTGTGTGTGTGTGTGTGTGTGTGTGTGTGTGTGTGTGTGTGGTGTGTGTGTGTGTGTGTGTGTGTGTGTGTGTGTGTGTGTGTGTGTGTGTGTGTGTGTGTGTGTGTGTGTGTGTGTGTGTGTGTGTGTGTGTGTGTGTGTGTGTGTGTGTGTGTGTGTGTGGTGTGTGTGTGTGTGTGTGTGTTGTGTGTGTGTGTGTGTGTGTGTGTGTGTGTGTGTGTGTGTGTGTGTGTGTGTGTGTGTGTGTGTGTGGTGTGTGTGTGTGTGTGTGTTGTGTGGTGTGTGTGTGTGTGTGTGTGTGTGGGGAGCCCATTTTGTGTGCGTGCGCGAGAGAGAGAGCACCGGTACCGGAGATCGTTGTTGTTAGCTTCCGGTGCTAGAGAGCTACGCTAACGGATATAAGGAGTTTTTTCAACAACTATAGCCGCTTTCACACCACAGGACTTGCCGTACTTTAGTGCCGGCACTAAAGTACCACGTCACTGAATCCGCCAGGGGGCTAGTGCCAATCGCATTCACACCGCAGTACTTTCCCTGAGGCAAGATTACGCTGACGTCACTTCGTCTTCTTCTTCTCTGGGTTTACTGGCAGGCCGCAAAACCACTTCACGGCGAGTACAAAAAAAAACGAGAGAAGAAGAACTACACGGGGGAGGGGGTATAAAGCCCACCCGCTGTATGAGGCGTTTGTTTACTGGTCTTTCGAGTGTTACCACTCTTATTATTGTGGTCTTTAATTTTTTTATAGTCCTGTCTGAGTTTCTTTATTTTTACCCGGCATCCGTGTGCACTGTGCACGATTCCCAGCTCAAGTAGCTTTTGCGAACATCGCTCAAAACATTTGGAGTTGGGAACTGCTTTCTGTAGAAGCTGCTGCATCCCGTCCTCAGAGTAAATTGCCAGAAGCGCCGACACTTCCTCATCATTCCACCGCTCCGGTGTTGTAGTACGTGTGGTCATAACTGCTTTAAAGTACAAAAAAACTACTCGCTCAGGTGTGGATGTGGTTTTGTAGCGAGGAAAAAAATGGCTGCCTAATAAATAAAAAAATCAGAGTCTAGCGGGGCGTGGTTTGCAATTCGCCCAGCCAATAGAAATAGAATAGAAATTGGCACTCTTTTATCACCAGGTTCGTACCACCTCTCTTGCAGGGACTGAAAATGGCCAAAAGAGTTCCCGGCACTGAGTAGTCCCGGCGGTGTGAACGCGACATTATTGGTACTAACGGAACTAAAGAACCAAAGCAGGGAAAGTCCTGCGGTGTGAATGCGGCTAAAGTGGAGGAGAGTCCTCTCCTGTCAGACTGAGAGACTCAGTGAGCTAAAGGACTCTCTCAGTGTTATCTCAGTGGGTCTCAAACGTTTTGGTCACCATTAATGTAAACAATTATTTCCGAGGCACACGTTTATATGATCATTATAGTTATAAAAAAATAAGAGAATAAATAAAAAACAGGTATGAAATACTATGACATTAAAAAATGAATAAAGTTTAAAAGGGGAGTGATTTGTAAAATATCCATAAAGAAATAGTAACTTTGTTTACAGTTCTGTGTTGAGAGATGTATCCATAGATCTCTTCATTTTGCTCTCAAAGTGCACCAGATTGATGCTTTTAACTTCAATATTTAAAAATCTTCCCCCCGGACCCCCCTATGTTAGGTCCACACACCACCTATAAAAATATCACTTTACCCCTGCTTACACCTATATGCCGTGAGCTGATTATCGAGCCTTCATTGTAACAGTCATAGTATATAGTACATTGTGTATTTGCGTGGGGATTGTTGCAGTAGAAAATTCCACTGTAGCGCTCGGTACATTAATGGGAAACCCTAAATGTTTGAGCACCATCTATGAAACGTCAAGCTACCCCACAGCACCCCCAAAATAAATCTCTGGTGCCGCCACCGAGCCTGACTATTTGTGTTGGGGGAGCCCGACTTTTTTTTTTCTCCAAAGGGGGGGCCTGAGAAAAAGTTTGAGAACCACTGGGTTAGGGTAATGTTGTGAATCGAGTGGCCCATGGTGGGGGTGGGGTTATGGTATGGGCAGGCGTATGTTATGGACGACGAACACAGGCCACCCGATTCACAACATTACCCTAACCCTCACACCAGATACTGACTGGTTTTCGGACCCCCCCAGACCCCCCCCAATAAAGCAAAAATGCACGTTTCAGAGTGGCCTTTTATTGTGGCCAGCCTAAGGCACACCTGTGCAATAATCATGCTGTCTAATCAGCATCTTGATATGCCACACCTGTGAGGTGGGATGGATTATCTCGGCAAATGAGAAGTGCTCACTATCACAGATTTGTGAACAATATTTGAGAGAAATGGTTATTTTGTGTATATAGAAAATGTTTTAGATCTTTGAGTTCATCTCATGAAAAATGGGAGCAAAAACAAAAGTGTTGCGTTTATATTTTTGTTCAGTGTAGATAGGAAATATACCTGCAGGATTTGTGCTCATGAGATTGCGTCAGCAAAATGTAATGTAGTCTACACACACACTGGTATTTTTAAACATATTCTATATTTCGTCCACATTCAAAAAGCGTTATGGTTACCGACAAAGAAGATCTTGTAAAACCCCTTCCAGGATGAAGATGATCAGAAACTCAGTTTTTATTGTAGACTGGGAGAACAGAGATTCTGGCCTGTAACGTTAAAGTTTGCACCGTTATCACCCTTGTGAGGCCTCGCCAATGAGGAAATATTTCATGCAGATGTATCCAAAATAGGGCTGGCTCTAAACTTGCTAACAAGACCTTTTCCATGGTTCATAAAAACGTTACTCTTCCACTGTATTGAGAAACAGAGTCGTCAGAAAGCGATTCAGGTTGATTTACAGCTACAGTATCCAACACTTTTTTTCCATATTGGAGGATTGTTTTAAAAGGCAGTACGTGTATCAGATAATGGAAGAAATCGTTGTACATGTGGACTACACCTAAAATAATAAAATAAGTTATTAACAAGTCAGAAAAGGGCATGAACATGTGTGATAAATGTACTGCCCCTTCAACACCCATCCCAGGAAAAGCCTTGTCCGACTGTAAATGGCCATTACTGTGAGCCATCATTAACAGCTAAGTGTTAATCCATAATATGAATTTCCTTCCAAGCCCATGGATCGAAGCCAAGGGAGTAAAAATAATTGACTTAACTTTAAAAAAAGAATTATTAATCATCTTCCTTAAAATGTCTTTAAACTTCCCCCTGCCTTAATCTACAATTGAGGGCTCATTAATATAAGTGTCCAACCCAACAGTGTGCACACACTGTCCTGCTCCTATGCATGAGCACGCCTCACAAAAATAAAAAAACAGACCTATACATTTGACAGGGTGCATTATGGGCCACGTAATCGCAATTAAGTGTTGTGCCTGTAAAATGTATTTTTCCTTTTTCCTCAACAGATCATGTGAAAAAGGGTTGTTTAGTCATTTAGAAAGATTTACGGAATTGATACTGGGTTCAGGTTCGAATAAATGCTTTCAAACCCCAGCCCTACTCAAGAGCAGCGATGGTCAGTTGGATAACATTTCAGTACTGGTTTGAAGAGAGGAAGCCATGTTACATGACTAACGTTAGATTGTGTGTGTGTGTTTTTGACTGGGCAGGTCCGGGGACTCGACAGCGCGGATCTGGAACCTGAGTGAGAACAGCACAGGCGGGTCCACCCAGCTGGTTCTGAGGCACTGCATACGGGAAGGGGGCCAGGACGTACCCAGCAACAAAGACGTCACCTCACTAGACTGGAATGTGAGTGCGTGTGTGTGCGCCCCTTTGACCACTACTCCTGCCGAAGGCATTCCTTCCATCCACACACATGGGGGCGAGTCTCTCCCAGGGGGGAAAATACTTTTTCTACCACTCAGCTGCAAATTATTTTCAGCACTAATATTTAGTTTAGTCATTAGCTACTGTTGTGTTAACAGAGTCGTGCAGTGATGACATGTTTCTGTAGGCTGATCTGGAAGTTAACATCACTAGGGCTCCCTAGACTAAATGGGATTTTCCCATAGCATTTGGGGGAACATTTGAAAAAAATAAGGTCTGTAGCAAACACACGTTTTGGTTACACGTTTTGTATAGCAGGATATTCTCCACCTAGTACCACCACTTTTCGATTGTTTGAACAGTAAATACAATCAGGAGATATAAAATGCTAACATCAGGCTATAAAGAAACTACATCCCGGTCACATGACTTCACGCTAACACCGCTGAGCTAACAGTGGCTAATGTTAGGTGTGATGACATTCATTAGTCTCATTTAACTAGGTCTTAGTTGTTTCTTAGACACATAGGGGGGCGGCAGTAGCTTAGTCTGTAGGGACGTGGCTTGGGAACTGAAGGGTCGCCGGTTGAAATCCATATGTTTTTGGTCGGGGCCTCCTTTCCCAGGGTTTACGGATTAATTCCTCCACCACTCTATGTGTCTCGTTAAAAAACTGTGGAATATAAAATCACACTCAATCTGCCTGAATCAGAATGTTCAAATAAAACTGAGAAAGACTGAATGCCACTGACTTCAATTCTAATAAGAATCATGGCTCTCTTTCTTTCAGAGCGAGGGAACGTTGCTAGCAACAGGCTCATACGACGGCTTTGCTAGAATATGGACAAAAGACGGTAAGATCAAAGCTCAGCAGGGACGCTCAGATGATGAAATGTTTCCATTCTCTTTCTTAGCTGAGAATATAACAAGAATTTTCATATTTCCAGGTAACCTGGCGAGTACATTGGGTCAGCATAAAGGTCCTATATTTGCACTCAAGTGGAATAAGAAAGGAAACTTCATCCTCAGTGCTGGTGTAGACAAGGTAAGGCAAAAAGTTTGATAAATGCTTAAAACAAGTTTTTGAGATCATTGAGGTAATAAATGTTTTAACTAGTGTTGTCAAAATTATCGCGTTAACGGCGGTAATTCATTTTTTGAATTAATTGCGTTAAAATATTTAACGCATGTGCAGAATGGCCCACCTCATACGTACCACCAGTGGCAGCGCCAGGGTATGGCTGGGGTAGGCTACACCCATACCAAGAAATGGTTTAGCCCCACCATGAAAAATGATGTTAAAGTAAGCTAAATAAAGACTGCCAACTCGCGGAGTAAATTGCACAGACAGCCGTTAGTAAGATTGATTTCAGTAGCCACGGTTTTGAAAACTTTTGTCACGTAGTGATCGTCTTCTCAATAGAACATCTTTGATAACGGCGTGGTGTTGTTGCAGGAAGTCCCGACGGAGAATACTTTTGCTGTAGTACAGGGTGCACATAACTGGTACGCAGGTTATGTGCGTAATCTGAAATGCGTACCGTCACTTGTGTCACAAAGCGCATTTGCGTACCGACGTACTTGTGAAGCTTTTCCAGAAGGCGGTTAGATCACCGGATGACAGAGTCGGTCTCCGTGCGCACAGACAGGGCTGCTGTTAACGTCGGTCTGTACAACGGAATTGTGCCCCCCCCCCCCCCTCTGTCGACTTTCCTGAAGTACTCCCCCGTTGATAGAAATCAACACGTAATGAATTAAGACCCCACGGTTTGATGATTGATAGGTGTGTGGGTTGTCTTTCATTTTGACACGCAGAACAATGTTATAATAAACATACATAGTATACTGTATGTTAAATGGATATATCCGCCTTCTTTCATTTATCTTTCCATTCCCACAACAATATACATAAATAAATGGCATATTTTGGACATAGTTCGAATGGTGATTAATCATGATTAATTAATTTTTAAGCTGTGATTAATCTGATTAAAAATTGTAATCGTTTGACAGCCCTAATTTTTAGTTTTAGATTTTAAATCACAAATAAACATAACAAATAACAGTTTAGCATTTATTGAAGCGGAACGTGTTTCAGTGGGCCTTTTTATATACCTAAATCAGCAACAGGTGCCGGGATTTTGAAGCACTTTTGCAACCAGTTCTCCCTCTTTTTGGGGAACCGGCTCTCCGAGTCCTCGGCCTGCGATTTCCCAGGGCTCTCAGCTTCCTGCCATCCCTGCTCCTCCTGCTGCTGAGTCTTCTGGAGGCTTTTTGTGGCCCGATGAAGGGCGGACCTGTCGTCCTGCCACTGGATGCGAACGCACTCCAACTTCTGCTCAGCCTTTCTTAGAGCGTCGCCAAGCTTGATGTTCGCCTGTCCTTGTTCCGTGAGAAGATCTTTGCTTTTTTCTCCTACAAAGGAAGACGATAGTTTCCAAGCTGATCTTTGGCTTGTTTTAGAAGTGCAGCCATGAGGGTCTTGTTTTTCGACTCTTGCGTCTGCAGCTCGGAAAGATGAGTGCCATTTGATACTTTCAGCTGTGAAGCGAGGGACATTGCCTCCTTGTGTCGTGGAGATTGATGTACTTAAGCTCCTGCTGAGTCCATTCCAGAGCAGACTCGAGCTTTGTTTCTTTCTCAAGTTAAGCAAGAAGAGAAGCTCTTGATTTCTCTGCCTCCTGATGAAGGATGGTTTTCTCCTTGTCGAAGCGGCAGCGTTCAGTCTGGGAGAGATGTTATGCCTTTTTCAGGGCAATTTGGAGATGCCTATTCTCTGCTCATCCTATTTGGAGATAACTCCCTAGCTCCACCTCCATGTGGTTTTAGACACTGCCAGCAAGCGTCTGTCAGCACAAAGCTCATCTGAAGGGCCTCTTTGTCTTCCTTCATGTGCTCCGATGCAACTTGCTGGTCCTTGTTTGTGGAGGTCAGTTGCACAAGATCTTTCTGGGCACCGCGGAGCATCAGGCAGATCTTTTTCAGATGCTCTACCTGACTGATACTTCCAGCAAGCCCTTTTGTCTCAGGGCTGCATTTGGTGACTTCCTGTCTTTCTCTGAAAATATCAAGGAAGTTGGCCAGTGAGTCCTCTTGTATTTCTTGGAGGACTCTGCCTTCAGATTTACCTGGTGTGAGCCTCGCTTCACTGTCCTGCAATGTCCACTGGGTACAAAACAACCTTAAAAATATGAAAAGGCATATCAGAATGCAATATGGGAGAAGCTGTATAAAACACAAATGTGTCTGTTTTGGCGACATTTAGGTTTTGTTCAAGAAGAAATGCATTAACCAGTGTTTGTGACAGTTGGCTCTGCTGCTAATCTTTCTATAAAGTTGTAATGCATTTCATTAAAGAAAAAATATACGAAATACAAATATATTCAGGAAAAGCTGTTTTTTTAAATTGCCAAGCAGAGAGCATCATAGCAGACAAGATTCAGCAGGGATACAGTCCAACTCTAAGTATTCAATACATCATTCGCAGAAGAAGGAATGGGATAATCCCACAAATTAATGACTCGTTGTTCTCGCACTGTCGTGGTCAATAGTCTGACTTTAGTGAGGTTAAACTTTTTATTGATTGATTCACACACTAATCTGCTTTTGGTCGATTGTGTATGATGGAACAAACATCACTACTCCCTAATGTATTCAAAGCAACATGATCACTTGTCACCTAGAGACTAAATCATGCCCGTTTTATTTTACAGAGTGTAAAGGGATTTAAATGTGGAGTTACTACTTGGAGAAGGATAAGATTCACTTCTTAAAAATGCTTGTTTGAAGTCCCTTGTGTTTTTTGGTTGAGGTGTGATCCTTCCCTTACATTCCCTTGATGTAAATGTTCCCTTAACCAACACACAAATAAGCCCTTGCTTATCAAACTTGAGTTAACAACCAACTGCAAATTAGCGCCTAAACGGAAAAAAAGTCCAATTATTTCCTACAGAACTGAGCTACAACAAAAGCTATAGTCAGGGCTGCACATAACTGGTGCCCAGGTGCGCATGCGCACCTCCGCCAAAAAAAGAGCACCGGGTCATTTGAAAAAAGGCGCATTTGTGTACCAACATTGGGAGAGGGAGAGGGAGAGAGAGAAGAGAAAAGAGAGGAGAGAGAGAGAAAGATATTTGCGAGTTGCATATGAACTCAGGGTCGGCACGTAGCACTGGCGTTATAGATGTTCGCCTAGGGCGCCAGATCTGTTGAGGCGCTGCGCTGACAGCTCTGGGAGGGAAAAAAACATTTTTGACCGTTGGGGCTCATCCTAATTTTCGGCCTTGATGTAACAATATTCATAATTAAGTAAATGTAACACCCTTTTCACCCCGGTTACACGTTTCATTTGCCCTGTACGATGGGCGCTATAAGTGATGAAAATGGGGGATGTTGGCTTATCTGGCGCCCGCAGCTCACAGCCAAAATGCGAGTGAGCGAGGGAGAGAGAGAAGGGCGCACTGCCCGGTGTTGTTATTAGAATCTGGTGCTAGCTGCTTTAACGGATATAAGAAGAAGATGTTTCTACAAAAATGTGGAGGGAGAGTCCTCTCCAGTCAGACTGAGAGGCTGATAACTACAGCTCAGTGAGGTAAGGACTCTTGAGTGTTTAGATAGTTCACTTTAGTCTAAGTTCAAACTGTTTGGTCACAATTTATGTAAACACATATTTACAAGGCACTCCTTTATAATTATTGGGATAAACAGGTTTGAAATCATTCATTGAAATCAGTAGTAGGCCTACATCATCAGCTACCATGTCTGACAGAGAGGAAGACAGTGAGGAGAACAGTCAGGAGGGTAGTGATGACAGCTTGTAGGATTACTGGTCGTGCTAATGTTGTCTTGTGTTCACCTCTGCATGTGTGTTCTGTGTTCACCTCTGCATGTGTGTTCAGTGCCGTGTGTCTGGCAAATAAAGTCAAGACCCCCTCAAAAGTTACGGTTTATTTCATTTTAAGGATGAGCACCAAGCAACATCTCCAGGTGCTCCTTTGAGAACCAGGGCAAAAAAGTTATCTGCACCCCTGGCTATAGTGTTAATTTCGTTGACTAAAACTATGACGAAATATGTTCGTCAACGACCTTTTTTTCCATGACGAAAACGAGACGATGACGAGACGATGACGAGACGGCACCGACGGCAGTAAACAATAACTGCAACGAAATCATCATGCAATATCGTTGACGAAAAGTGACGAGACGAAAATGTAGTTTACTAAATAAAAACTATGCCAAAATCTCTCTTTACTTTTGTTGACGAAAAATGAGGAGACGAAATATTATCAAAGATAACGTTACATCTCTGATAGTCAGTTTTCTCCCAGCAGTTCCATTTCCGGTGCTGCGGCTGGGCAGCAGCTGTGTGTCTGTGCTGCGCGCGGCGGTAGATTTGAATTACACCGGGCAGCGGCACACTGTGAACTGTCAGGAAGACTCGGGTCTAACTCATGGTCTAACTAACCTTATTTAACAGAAAATGAAATGGCAACAACAGGGCTTGGGAGCAGTGGTCGCACTCGCGTTAACCGAATACCTCCCCATCAGCGCGAATGATTGATAAATTGTGTACTCGACGGGTAATAATGGATTATGACGGAAATGTTACGATCCGTCAAAATGACTGACAACGAAAAAGTCTAAAGCCACCACTGCTTGGGAGAAAGAAACGATGTGATATTTGGGCCCATTTTCGCTACAATGAGGCGGAGAAAAAAAGCGAATGCATTGTTTTATCAGAAGGGAAGCAATGTGGCCATAACACAGCTGGTAAAAACACCACAAACCTGACCAGATACTCTCTGCAAAGCTTCTTAATCATTCAACCTGTGTTTTTCATCAAATAAGGACAAGATATAATCTTATTTATTTATATATGCTAAAATGACAAATTATTGTTTTTGGCTAGACTAGTTTGACTGAAATGTTCTATATAATCTGATGACTAAAAAAGACTCAACAGTTTTCATTGACAAAAAGTAGACTAAAATAATTAGTTTTCTTTGACTAAAATAAGACTAAAATGCTCAGACTTTTAGTCGACTAAATCTTGACTAAATAAAAACAGGATGAAGGTGACTAAATATGACTAAAACTAAAAAGGAAATTTAACAAAGGACTAAGACTAAAACTAAATAAAAAAATAGCTGACAAAATTAACACTAAACAGCTATCAACAAGCTTGTCGTATTTTGCTACTTGGACAGAATCCCTGAGCTACACTATAATGACGCTTTACATGACATCCAGGGACATAAAACGATGTCTGACAAATGTGGGTCTCCTGGGTGAGAACCAACCCTGTGTTTGTCTACCCATCCAACCCTCAGCGTACTTACACACTCTTAAAAGACGTCTGTTGTTAGGAGACCTATTTTTCTGCCTAAATAAAAAATGCTGCTCCCTGCATTTTTGTTTTCAGAGAGCCCCTACTTTTAATGCAGCCGATTCAAAGAAAAATACAAATAAAACATTAAACCAAAGTTTTGGCTCTTCTGCAACATCTGATGTAACACACTTGTATATTTTTTACTCTAAACCTTAACAATATAAAGATTAAACTAATCGATATACCTGCATGTCAGCCTCTACTTATGGCGCGTTTCCACTGCAGGCCTCGCTCGGCCTCGCTCGGTTTGGTTAGGCCTTATTAGGCCCGGCTCACTTTAATGCTGCGCTTCCATTACAGTTTAGGAACTGGGGCAGTTACTATAGTAACGCAGTGTAGGCGGAGCCGTGACGTCATCTTCAATGAGAGCCCCAGAAAAACAACACAGCCGTTAGCTCTTAGCACTCAGAGCTCACAGCTCCTCATATCTGTTCAGAAACTAGACAAAAGTTAAACAAGTACAAACCACAGACTGTCTGTGTCATGGCGAATACAGTCGCTGGTTTATTTATGTCGGTATAGGCCGTTGTTGCGAGTGTTGACGGTCGGAGCATATATAACGTTAGCTTAGCCAAGCTACATTTAGAAAACACGCATTTTAAAAGGGTTTTTCGCCTGCCGTCTGTCTGCAGACTTGTCAAAGCATTAATTCATGGTTTTTACTAACCGGTATCAGTATGTTGTTACTTCGGCATCATTTAGAAACGTGTATTACAATTAAATCACGGTCAAATATGTTCATCTTGTTGTAGTTGTAGCCGCCTTGCCAGCGATTCTCTCTCTAGTTTAGCATACTCAGCCCGACTCAGCCTGGTTGTTCCTGGCTCTAGAACCACGATTTAGTCGGGCCAGAAAAAAGGTGAAAAAGTAGCCCCGGGCCAAAACTAGGCCAAGTGGAAACGCAACCAAAAACGGGCCCCGCACGCTTAAAGCGAGCTACCCGCTGCAGTGGAAACGCACCATTAGCATACCAGATATTACTGACAGGTGACAGGTGCACCTCCACAATGAACATACTCATGCTCCTGTCAGAAAATGACAACATTGAAACCTTTGTTGTTCAACATTGCCATCTAGTGTACAGAAGAATAATAGCATTGTCATCGTCACCTTCAGAATACATTTTAATACCCCTGTTTTGGTGTCTTGGTGGGGTAAAAAGCGTGTGAGTTGTGATATATTAACTGTTTGTATATCCTTCTTCACATTAGTGCGTGCGTGTGTGAGTGCGTGCGTGTGTGCGTGCGTGATAATACTAGTTTGGTCTAAATAATGAAAATGTCTTCCTTCACACAGACCACAATTATTTGGGACGCACATACGGGAGAGGCCAAACAACAATTTCCTTTCCACTCAGGTGAGTGACAAAAAGCTTTCTGTTTTAGACTGACTTAACTTTTTGCTAAACTCTAGTGAGCGACACCCAAGTTCTTTGCACACATTGTGACTGATATGTGTTTCTGCCACACTCAACCCAACTTGTCTGTACACATTTTGCACTCAGCTCCGTGTTTGACATGGTTGCTATGTTGCAGTGCAAAAGTGACCATTAAATAAATGTGCTGAAAGCTTTTCTTTTTGTTTAAAAAACAATATCTGCCCTTAGAGTATGGTAATAGTGAATCATCAGATTCAAATATGGCATAAAGAAATCTATTGTGTGGTGTAGTTCCTCGACCCCAAAATTAGATAGCATTTTAACACTTCCTGTACCCTCGTTTCCAAGGCAACGCTTTTTGGTTAGCTTCCCAAAATAAGGTATGTGGTTAACACAAGCTCACAAGATGTTCCCGCTTTGTTCTACGACAAAAAAAAGTTAATAAATACCCCACTCGTGGATGTCTGAAGTTTCTAGGTGTCTTAAAAATAACGGTTGCTAACAAGTGACTGAATAAGACTACTAAATGAATCACGTCAGCTTTAACTGCGTTAAGCTTAGCGTATTGATTTGAAGTCATGTTACCGTCATGTGGTTTGTTTTCATAGCCAAATGTTAGGTATTTACTTCTGGTGATTGCATTTATGCTTTGAAATTCACAAAGTGGTGTCAAAATGTGGAGATATTCCTGCTGAACAAAACGTGAAGGTGTCATAAATGAGTCCGAGCTTATTTTCTGTAACATTCCAACAACCAATCGAGGGAGCGCTTGCGATGCTAACATTTGGGCCGGTCACAAAAATATGTAATCACTGCACCACTGTGTTGTCATAGCATCGTGTTCATCTGGTCTTCTCTCCTGGTGCTCTGTGCCTCTAAGCTCTCCTTCCTCCCCACAGCACCGGCTCTGGACGTGGACTGGCAGAGCAACAACACGTTCGCCTCCTGCAGCACAGACATGTGCATCCATGTGTGTAAGCTGGGTCAGGACAGACCGGTCAAGACCTTCCAGGGACACACGGTGAGACAGGACACGTTGATTTCTCACAGGGGGGGGAACACACACCCTCCGCTGGCCAAACACACTCTGTTCTACACGCATTGTTGCATAGCTAACAGTGGCGAGCCGTGACTTTTATACCTAGGCCCTCTGACGTTTTTTTTTATGTTTTCAAATATTATTTTTTAGAATATCTTAGGCCCTCAGAGAGACGGGTCGCCACTGATAGCTAATAGGAATACTGGCACTTACTAACTTTAGCTTCTGATTTAAAATAATGAATGCCCCTTTAGGGTATTATGTGCTTATCCAACGTCGGTGTATGACCTACAGTACTGTTTACTGATCAAAATCCACATTTTAGCCACCTTAAAGAAAAGCCTACCTAAAAAAGAAATTAGAATCAGTTTAAGTACAAGCTATATTTAGAATATTTAACTATTTTACCTTGACATAAGAGAGCCCTTTCTGATGGGAAACTGAAGGCGCTATCAATAATTGTCAAAGCCACCAGACTTTGTTGAACATTTTTTTTATTTTAATACGGAAGTTACTTTTGTACTGCTGCCTCAATTAGATAGTTAGTTTGTGTCGTTGTGTGATTACAAACCAATCAAACTAATACACAATAACACAAACAAACCAACCAATCCAGTCGGCAATAAACCAGCCGCTCCCGTGCTCTGCAATTTCAGATTCATATTTTTCTCAGTGGAGTCTTGTGGCTTTAAAACAAAAAAAAAGCATAGATAAGGGGTTCAGTTAAGGATTTTTTAGGTAAGCCTTTCTTTTATCTGGGTAAAATACGTTATGCTACGGACCCCGTCCCTCAGCAGTTAAACACAGTACTGTAGGTAATACACTGACATTTAATTACACCACCTTCACCTTCAAACTATCCCTTTTAATAGCATTCATTCACAACTCTAACAACATACAACTGTCTACTATGGGACGCTACAACCCAGTCTCACGGCATTTCGTGTTATAGTCACGAAATTAATCTATTGATTCGTGTTCACCAACACGATTTCCCCATTTATTTCGTGTCACACAGAACGATGTTTTATAAAAAAACGTTTTATTTTTGTTTTTTATAAACAAACAACCAGACCGACAGCACAATAGCAGTTGGCAAACAAGTAGGATGATAACAGTGCGATTCGAGTCCGACAGGACAAAAAACAAAACAAAATAAATAAAACAAAACAAAAAAGGACTGCGACAGGACAAATAAAACAACAACAAAAACTAAAGGCTTTGAGTCTAAGCCCATTATTAATAACGTAATGAAAAAGTAGAAATCAAACTGTGTATAAATGGAACAAAAAGACCAAACATATCAAATAAAAACATAGCACTTGTTGGTCAGTCAGCCGCCCACTAATCACAGTTTAACACCGCAGGTCCACCACCCTATTGTACAGAGACATCCGGCATGTCCAGCTCCCGTATATACCTGTAGAAGGGGTTCCACATCTTGTGGAATTTTCCCAGGGAGCCCCTCACTATGCACCTTATTTTCTCGAGTTTGGCTGAATTTAGGACTTCTTTTAACCATGAGGTGTGTGAAGGGGATATTGGAGACTTCCACATGAGCAATATCAGGCGTCTGGCTAGTAAGGTAACAAAGGCTATGAAGGCTGTCTCCAGAGAAGAGAGTGGGCATGTGGATGGGGTTACACCAAACAGTGCGGTCATAGCATTAGGAGCGATCGGTTTTCCAGTGATTTCTGACAGTGATCTAAAGATGTCAGTCCAATAAGAGTGTAAGACCGGACAAGACCAGAACATGTGTGCGTGACTCGCCGGTGCTTGGCTACATCTGTCACAAGTTGGGTCTGCCTCCTTATATATTTTGGAGAGCCTGAGCTTAGTAAAGTGTGTGCGATGCACTACTTTGCACTGAATCAGTTCATGTCCAGCACAAATAGAAGATTTATGTACATTAGCGAGTGCTTTTTCCCAAAGTTCTTCAGAAATCTCCTCCCCAAGATCTATTTCCCAAAGAGATGTAATGATGTTCATGGTAAACAAACGAAGAGAATAAATCTGAGCGTAAATACACGTCATCATTCCCTTCAGAGTAGGTAACGGCCTAAGGAGTGTGTCTAGTGGCGAATCAGTTGGGTGATAGGAAACTGAGGAAATCTATTATTAACAAAACTACGAATCTGTAGATACCTGAAGAAATGTTGGCTAGGTAGTGCACATTGATCAGATAGCTGTTGGAAAGAGGCAAATGTGTTGTGAATATAAAGGTCTTTGAATGTTTTAATGCCTTGGTTAGACCAAATGGTAAATGCGCCATCTACTAAGGATGGAGGAAAAACATGGTTTGCAGTTAAAGGGGCTAATGTAGAGTATGTTTGGAGACCAAAGAAACGTCTGAACTGATTCCAAATTTTCAAGGATGCTTTGACGATTACATTTTTAGTGTAAGCAGAGGAGGGGGTCTTAATGGGAGAGTGAGCCAATGCTGAAAGAGATACTGGACTACAGGAAGCAGTCTCCATTTCAAGCCAAACAGATAGAGTGCTGTGAGTCAGACTGCAGCCAGGACTGTATTATTCTCAGATTTGTAGCCCAATAATAGAACCCAGAGATGTTCACAAGTCTTTTTTTGCAAGTCCAAGTCAAGTCTCAAGTCTTTGGTCACGAGTCCAAGTCAAGTCTCAAGTCTTTGTGGGGTGAGACTTGATCAAGTCTCAAGTCTTTGGTCACGAGTCCAAGTCAAGTCTCAAGTCTTTGTGGGGTGAGACTTGATCAAGTCTCAAGTCTTTGGTCACGAGTCCAAGTCAAGTCTCAAGTCTCTAAAAAATAAAAGTCTCATGTCTCTTCTGGTTGTAATAAGCCTTCCATTGTCTGCTGCTATCCAGTCTGTTAAGAATACTGCACAGCTATATCTAAGAAATTCAAAGCATTTACTGTATCTGAAATATACTGAACTGGTGATATTAAAACATGACCTGTTCCAAAAGAGATATCTACCATTAACACCATTTACCAGCCAGATGCTGGTAAATCATGCAAGTGGCTGGTACTGTATGTTGCACGCACCAGCCAAACATAACAATGGCAATCTATTGAGTGGCTGGTAACATTTCAACATTCACTAGGCTAGCCATTTGGCCAGTGGACAAACATTTTAAAATTTGACCTCTGCAACCGTATTGTTTAATTACACTGGGTCTCTAATGACATCTTTTAAGTCTACTATAAACATATTCCTCTATCCTCTCACTCAAACCCAGTGTAACGGTAACCTGATAAACCTGTAACATTAACGTTACGTGGTCAACAATAAACCTGTAACCTGCCTATAAACCGACAGATGTATTTATGTATGTAACTATGTATTTTTCTACGTTTAACGTTAGCCAGTGGCAGCGGAACGTAATGATTAACGTTACCGACCTTTTTTATGTCATGTCAAGAGTTGGATGTCAACGCCACTCAACGCAAACAAGTGTGACAAGCAAACATTCACTCATCTTTTCAAATATTCAGTTACAAAGCTAGTAGCAAGTTAAGTTAACATTACATAGCTGATGCTGAGCTAAACATGTGCGTTAATGTGACTGACCTCTCCGGGTGAGTTTTCAAGTGCCTGATGAAATTTGACGTTGTTGCACCAGCATCCTTGATTTTAATATTGCAGACTTTGCAGTGTGCGCTCCTTTTGTTGGTGCCGCCGGCGTTTTGTTCTAAGTTTTTATAGTTGAACCTAATTACAAGCGGTACAGCTGCAGGTGTGCGGCCTGTCGCCATGGTGTTACCATGATGTTAATGTTAATGTTAAAGGTGGGGTAGGTAAGTTTGAGAAACCGGCTCGAGATACACTTTTTGTTATATTCCATGGAATGCTCTTAACATCCCGATAGCCGGCCCGGCTAAGATAACTGGATGGCCTACCTGCCTGTCAGCCTCCCATCGGGGCACAAACTTATCTCGTGCCCTCATTGGTCATGTGCGCGTTCGTGTGTGTTGGAGGAGGGGCTCTGTGAGGAAGTGGCAGATTTTCTCCGTTTGTGTATTTTCAAATTCTAGCGATCTCGAGCCGGTTTCTCAAACTTACCTACCCCACCTTTAATACGCCAAAAATAGAAAACACAATGATTGTTCACGAGTCCCAAAACACGAGTCCAAGTCGAGTCCGAAGTCTTTTGAGCAGGAGTCCAAGTCAAGTCTGAAGTCTCTGTGTGTGCGACTTAAGTGCGACTCGAGTCCGAGTCACAAACTCGAGTCCCCATCTCTGATAGAACCTCAAGTCAAGTCCACCCAGCGCCTTTGGTCTCTGTAAAAATGTATTGCGTATCCTTGGGATTTTCTTGTTCCAAATAAAGTTCGAAATAATAGTGTCAGTTTTACGGAAAAAAAATTGAGGGAGGAAAACGGGCACACATTGAAATAAATATAGACATTTGGTGAGTATATTCATCTTGATAGAATTAATTAGGGCAACCAGAGACAGATTCAATACTGACCAGCGATCAAAGTCTTCCTGTACGCGGGACAAAAGGGGGGCAAAATTAGCTTTATAAAGATCTTTAAATGAATCGGTTACCTGGATCCTGAGGTAAGTGAAGCTGTGTAGTGCAGTTTTAAAGAGAGTCCGAGTTCGAAATATTATTTACATTGCTTTTAAAATCGTTCTGTGTGACACGAACAAAATGGAAAAATCGTGTTGGTGAACACGAATCAATAGATTACATTTATTTAGTGACTATTATACGAAATGCCGTGAGACTGTGTTGGACGCTAAGACAACATCTATTTTTGAAATGAATTGGTATAAATGTATTGCTAAACTAGGTATATTATTTATTATGTTGCTATATGTCTGTCAAATATGCTGTGTTTTTTTTCAATTTCTAATCTTCTGGATGCAGAACGAGGTGAACGCCATCAAGTGGGATCCCACTGGCAGCTTGCTGGCCTCCTGCTCAGACGACATGACGCTTAAGGTCAGTCCTCATCACCTGCAGACTTATTTGGTGTTATTTTATGGCTTAGATGACAATTTAAATGAGCCATAATCAGACAAATTACTCATTATATGTAGTGATAAATCCATGCTGACAGCTTGTTTCTTCTTCTCGTATAGATCTGGAGTATGAAGCAGGACACATGTGTCCATGACCTCCAGGCCCACAGTAAAGAGATCTACACCATCAAGTGGAGCCCCACTGGGCCCGGGACCAACAACCCCAGTGCCAACCTCATGCTGGCCAGGTGAGAGCGCCAAGCAGCCATCATATGCACAGAGTCTAATGTTCCTAAACAGGCAGTTTTCGAAAAATAAAATATTTTATAATAATTCTGAGGAGGTATCAGGATATCAAGACAAACTCAATACATTGTGTTGCAGAGGTGGACTCGAGTCACATGACTTGACTCAAGTCGCATATTTTTGGACTTGAGATTTGCTTGACTAACATTGATAAAAGACTTGACTTGACTTTGACTTGGTAGTCATGACTTGAGACTTGACTTGAGACAGATGACTCAAAAGGACTTTACTTTTTTTAATTAAATATTTGTTTTTGTATTGTACGGAGCCCCTAAAGGGCAATGAAAAAAAGGGTTAAGATACTGTATCTCGTTCGCACAAGTAAGTTACTGGAGTGCCAAGTAGGAAGTGGAGCACACGGGAGACAACCCTTTCATTGCAGATTGTAATGTTTATGTTGGGAAATGGCAGTATTTTAGATATATTTCGAACTCGGACTCTCATTCACTTCATGAAATCGCTACAGCACCAGGAGGAAGTGGGACGTGTAACTCTGCCTCTGAGAAGTGCAGCACCAGCGCGCAAAGAGCTGTGCCTTTTACGCAACGCCTTCACTGTGTTTACTTTCATTAGAACCGCTGAAGAGCGGGCAGGCTGCTTCGTTTTAACCACACACACCTCTACACACATCAAACTGCCCGATTAATCCCCCTATTATCACTAAGGTGTGTGTGTGTGTGTGTGTGTGTGTGTGTGTGTGTGTGTGTGTGTGTGTGTGTGTGTGTGTGTGTGTGTGTGTGTGTGTGTGTGTGTGTGTGTGTGTGTGTGTGTGTGTGTGTGTGTGTGTGTGTGTGTGTGTGTGTGTGTGTGTGTGTGTGTGTGTGTGTGTGTGTGTGTGTGTGTGTGTGTGTGTGTGTGTGTGTGTGTGTGTGTGTGTCCAGGGAGAGACTATGATTGTGATTTTAAGAGTGACTCCATCATACTTTGATGATGTCAATAGGGCGCTGTTTTTTCATCGCATCATCGTACACACTCTGCAGCAGACTGTGTGCTGATGGTTGTTACTGTCAGAGTGTGTTTAAGACAGACAAAGGGAGAAATAAAGAAAGGAAGATGAGTAGAAAATGCTTGCCTCACCCCTCAGGATATTTGCTCTGGTCTCCGATGCTATGCTTTAGCAAGGAGTGTCACTACAAGATGTTATCCACTCACATCTGGCTCCAATGTGTTTTTCTCACAATCCACAAATTCTCACAACATCTTTTAGAGTTTATTGGGCAATTTTTTGTGGCAGCCCATATTGTCACTAATATTATTATTAACATATTAAGCCTATTAGCTTTGGCTCACTTGCTAACTTCTGTGAGACCTTAGGGCTTCACTGTGTTTACTTTCATTAGAACAGCTGAAGAGCGACTGCAGGCTGTTTCATTTTAAACACACACACCTCTATACACTCACACCTCTACGCACATCGAACTGCCCGATTAATCCCCCTATTACTCGTTTTATGAAGGAGATGTCCGGTCACTAAGGTGTGTGTGTGGTGTGTGTGTGTGTGTGTGTGTGAACAGCATTTGTTTTCAAATTACCATGAACAGTAATTTACACACATCTGGCCAACTCCATATGTATATGTGGGTGTTCCCAAATGAAAGAAATGTGTTTAATCTTAATGTCGCACTATCAGCACACATACACTATTCCGTTGTATTGGTTTTAATGCAATATTTCTTTGTGCACAGACACAGTTAGGAAAACAATGAAACAGTGTCATATGGTAGCACCTTAGACAGGAGAAATACTGTGACTTTGCTGAAGGGGAGCCAGGGCAGGAGGCTTAACATGTTGATGTCAAATATGTACTCCTGTTATCACTTTAGAGCCCTTTTAGAACTTATAAGGTTATAATTTCAGCGCCCCATTCTCCATTGCTGTTTATGTTGAAAATAAAACAAAACTTTTCATAACCACAATATTTGTAACTGATTTAAATGCGGAAACTGGGGTTATTCATCAGAATTTCGAATTACTTGACTTGTGACTTGCTTGACCTGAGCAATGACTTGACTTGCTTGACTCTCACCACAGTGACGTGGTTGAGACTTGCTCATGACTTACACATGTATGACTTACTCCCACCTCTGTTGTGTTGCATAGTCTAGAACAGGGGTGGGGAACCTCCGGCCTCCTGGCCGTATACGGTCATTTATAAACACACGCAAAAAAAAGAAAATTAAGAAAACTAGACCGCAAAAGAATTAAACAAGCGAGTGCCTGTTTACCTTTAGTAATGAATATTAAATGTTGAGAGGAAATCTTTCCACCAATAAGTATTCCAAAATGTATTCACTTCAGGTTTACGAAAGTAACTGTAATCAGATTACTCGTTTTTCAAATGTAACGCGAGCTGAATACAGTTACTTGATTTTTGTATTCTGATTACGTAACGCCGTTACATGTATTCCGTTACAACCCAACCCTGTTGGCGACACACTTTACCTCACATTTACTATATACAGTATTGATTGTCCTTCCTCCTTATCTTCCAACCATTTGGACGCAGACTTGCATTTCCCCATAACGATGTTGTTTAACAACCGGCGTAAACGGGCCTTCGCGCGCTATCGAGCAGTGAGCGTGCGATGTCCTGTTCAGATGACGTCAAGTCCAACGGGATGCCATCAATAAACTACACAGAATCACACTACACACCTATGCAATGATTACATTCAGGCAGACTGTAGAATACAACCTCTTTGGACAATTTATGTACTTATTGAAAACAAGCTACAAAATGTAATACCTTGGAAAATGCCCTTTAATACTTTTTAAGACCTTAATTTGCGCTAAATTGATTGATCAACTTTTAATACTTTTTAAGACCCCGCGGACACCCTGTCATTATAGTTATAAAAAAATAAGAGAATAAATGAAAAACAGGTATAAAATACTATATGACAGTAAAAAAAGTTGTTATTAATAAACAAGAATACAGTTTGAAAGGAGAGTGATTTGTAAAATGTCCATAAAGAAAAAGAAAATCTGTTGACAGTTCTGTTTCATATGGGTGTTGAGAGATGTATCCTAATTTTGCTCTCAAAGTGCACCAGATTGATGCTTTTAACTTCAACATTTAAAAAAGAATCTTCCTGAGGGAGCATGCCCCCCGGACCCCCCTAGAGGAGGTGAGGTCCCCCCCACTTAAATCATGTTGGTGGTCATGCCACAACTGTGCACATGCGTGTAACGCGTTACAAAGTAAATAATATTACTTTTGTCGGTAACGGTACGTCCACACAGCAGCTTTTCGAAAATCTTGGGGCTGGGCGTGTCTGAAAGCTTTTTTGCGAGCAACGCGACCAACAACCAATCACATGAATCTCCCGCCCCCGACATACAAAGCAAAAAACCCCGGGGATTTTATGCGAGCAATATATATATATATATATATATATAAACTCCCCAAACAGGCGAAAACCTACCAGTTTCACCCACTGTCTCTGCCACCTCCCTCCATGCCTGGTTCCTCCGGTTTGTATCCCGTTAATAGTTCTGGTCGTAAAGAACCGGGTGATTTGCTACCGTCATTTCTCGTTTGGAATATGAGGAAATGAACTGCGGTCTGGCTCTCCCTGCTTACACGCGGTTTGATTGGCTAGCGCTTCTACTGTCAGATTTGCATAAACGGGATTTGATTGGCTGACGCTTCCAGCTCAGCTTCAAAAGTAGAACATTGCTCAACTTTTGAATCCTGAAAATCCTGGAAATCCTGGAAATCTTCGCTTCGCTCCCCCACAATGCAGTTCGGCGAAAAGCGAGGCAAAGTGACGTCATCCCCATTCAAAGTCAATGGGCAGAAGCGTTGGAAGCGTTGTTTAAAGCTGCTGTGTGGACGTACCGTAACGGAGTAATGTAACGTGATACTTTTATAATTCAGTAATCACACTACAGTTACTAACATTGCCCGACACGCGTTACTTCGTTACTTTTATAAAATCAGTAATCACACTACAGTTAGCCTACTAACACAGAATGACTAGATTCTCCCTTTGACAGACAAGAGGGATTTCCGCCGCAGGCTTATATTTGCGCAACTTGCGTGTCCACATGCAGTGCTGCATAAACATGGCTGAGTCAACAGCGATAACTTTCGAGGGGTGGAGGTATGCCCATTATTTTGAGTTCGTCCGAAGAAAGGACAGCAATGTGACGGTGACACCCTTTAATTTACTGCAACGACATGTCGGGAAACCCCCTCAAGGCGGCACCATGCATATCACGCCGTAAAATGCAATATTCAAGTTGCAGGAAGCACAGTATTTGTTAGTCTATGAATATGGTGAAATATCATTCTGTATGAGGTAATGTGGTGCTGCAGAGACATCCCAGCATACTCCTCATATTTCACAGACTTAAAAAAGGATGTTTGTTTGGTACAGATCCCCCTAAGAAATCTTACCATCATAATTCAATGCATTTTCACTAATAGTGAGAATTATGATGCAAAAATTATCAATCCCTCTAATACCGGGAACCATATAGCAATTATGAATTATTTCCAAATCGTGCAGCCCACCTGCTGCTAATATAATATTCAGGTTTGACTTGCCTTAGTTTTTGTCTCTGATGATAACATGCAGAGCCAAACAACCAATACGCCTCAGTCTTATTGGTTGTTTGGATGCTGAGTCACCACACTGCCAGTTTTGATGCTCCAGCTGCACCTGTAAAGGTTGCCACTGTGGTGGGCTCGGTCAACCGGATCGGAGAGGGTCTTCCACCCAAGCAGCCCTAAAATCCCAGTGCGCCTGAGCGGAATAAACAAACTCACAATGCCATCCACGACATAGTATTGAGAGACAGAAGTATCCCTCAGTGTTTCAGATAAAATGACTGTGCCTGGTCAGGTCTGTCACAACAACGACATTATTGACTTATTGTACGATTGAAAACAACTTCATACATCTTCCTGATTATGGTCCACATCTCTGGTTATATCTAACATAAAGCTAGTTTTTTGTTTACTATTTCTTTTTTAACAACGGTCTTAACCATTTAAAAAAAAACTGGATTGGCAGTGTAAAGCATGTTTAGGAATGAATAACACTCTCTCTTTACTTACGACAGTTATTCAGTTATCATGCTCCAAATATCTGGAACAAACTCCCAGAAACCTGCAGGTCCGCTACAACTCTGACTACTTTTAAATCCAGGCTGAAGACTTTTCTTTTTGTCGCTGCTTTTAATTGAACTATTCATATCTTAGACAGCACTGTAACTTTTATCCATGTATTTTTTCTTTTAATGTTTATTTTATTATCTTTTCTTTTTAATGACTGATTTTAAATGCCTTTTTCTTAATGTCTTTCATTTTTTGTAAAGCACTTTGAATTGCCTTGTGTTGAAAAGTGCTATATAAATAAACTTGCCTTGCCTTACGACGTTTGTGGTTTTGTTAGATTTATGTGTTATTCCTTTAAAACATGTTGTTCCATAATTATATACATAAAAACGCAATTTCTTCGGAAATGACGTGTCGTTGAACAAAAGAAGTTATCGGGAAAGGCCTAGATATGGTCTCAGATTAGAAGAACATTTATAAATACAATTTATTACCAAAAAAATGCATGCATAAATAAAGGAATTAATGAAGTAGTTTCTTTTTAAATGAGATCCAGCATTTCTATTGTGCATAATGTTTCTCACGTGTCACACATTGCAGTTGATATTCCTGCGACACCACTCTTTGACACCCCTCCCTCCTCTGCTTGTTCCCTCTGCAGCGCATCGTTTGACTCCACGGTGCGGCTGTGGGACGTGGAGCGGGGGGTGTGTATCCACACTCTGACCCGCCACCAGGAGCCCGTCTACAGCGTGGCCTTCAGCCCAGACGGCCGGCACCTCGCCAGCGGCTCCTTCGACAAGTGTGTGCACATCTGGAACACTCAGGTCAGGGATAATGCTTTAACATTTTTGCACATACACATTAATATAAAAGCATTAGGAGAAGGTTTGCTGATGTGTGTGTGTTTGTGCAGACGGGGGCTTTAGTGCACAGCTACCGGGGGACAGGAGGGATCTTCGAGGTGTGCTGGAACGCCACAGGCGACAAAGTAGGAGCCAGCGCGTCAGATGGATCGGTGAGTTGTTTCTGAGTCTCACACACACTTTAACCTCTATTCACACTACACTAACCAGACACCTGACCCAGGTGCCCCCAACAGTGCGCCAGACTCTGAGGAAAATATTAGTTGTGGCCAAACGGCGGTACTACACTTCCGTATCAGTCGCTGGGCCCGGAAACACTTTTTCCCATTGACTTACATGGGGAAAGAGACGTCTGTAAATCGTTGGATCATTTTTTTAAACTAAATAAACTACCCAGTATGAACACTTGGATAGCCCTTATTAAAAACATTCGGTCCTCAAGTTGTAAAAATGTGCTAATAACGTTATTCTGAAAGTTATTTCCCTCTGCATTATGAACGCGCATCTAACCCACGGGACCGCGCCGCCCGGCACGTTCATGTTACGTGTTCAGTACTACATGCGTTTTACCTTTACCCATGGATGCACAATAAGAACGGATTATATGAATACTTTCGTGACGTTTTGCTCTCTCAAAAGTTGGGCCATTTTGACTTCATGCGCTAATGAGCAACTCTCATAGGAATGAACGAGGCCCCGCCTCCCACGCTGTATCCAGTTCTTATTATACATCCATGGTTGACCCAGGTAGGCCGACCCCATAAAAGCTCTGGGTGAAACCTGCCTCTGCGGGGTAAAAGGTTTTACTGCTTGTCCCAGGACATGTGGTTTCAAGGACTTTAGCACCAAGGCACTTGAGATTGTAATATAATACAGACTGCTCTGGCGGCTGTGTTTTAAAAAAGACCAGGAGACAGCTTCAAACACAGCCTAAAAAACTGGATACAATTTATATTTGTTGGAGTTCAATTCATAAACACTTAATAGAGCCATTGGTATCTGATGTTGTTTTACTGATTGCTAAATCAGACATCTAATGGTTGTTGCTCATAACTAGCAGCCTAACCCTATTAACAGTTGCTCTGGATAAAAAACCTTTTCGTGTTTGAATCATATTCTGAAAATAACTAAGAACATTAATTAATACTTATTTATTCAATTGCAGTCCTATATTTTTAAGCTATCTCTCTACATGCTAATAGTAGAAGTGTTAACAAGCATTGACCCGGGGAGCAGCAGGGCAGAGAGGCTGAGGGGGGGGGGAACGTTCCAGAAGCCTGCCTCTACGGCTGAGTGTCTGCACTACTGCTGCAGAGCTAAAGAGACATGACAACACATCTGGATTCCTGCAGAGTAACGCTATAAGCACTCTTATTGGCTGACTTTATCGCAGGTATGCCATGTGCAACCATGAAATAAATACAGGTATTGCTCAATAATGATTTCCTTTAAGCCTACCCACAAAAGGTTCATATCTACATCAATGTTTCAACACGTGTTATCTTAATCTCTTGACAAGCCTCCACAGTGCACAGATGATAAACAATTGGATAAAGGCTTGAACTAAATGAGGGTTGTGTTTCACAACAGCAAAACATTCACAAACTCTCACAAAACGTGTGCAGTATAATCTAAGTCTCATATTTCCAGTTGTTTTACTACTTTCAAAAGAACAGCCTTTTCTTGCTATCTTATAAACACTTACACAGATGAGCAGTGCAGCAACACAACTACCAGGCTCTTTATGGCTATGTACTAAAAAGTGTAGTTTTAATGAAAATGCATGCGTTTGTGAAGTGGTGGGCATAGGACTGGATAAATGAGTTGCTTTAGTTTAAACGCAGAGCCCTTTTACCTCAATTCACTTTTCTCTGATTTTGAAACTGGAGGCATGTGAGAAAAAAATCCAAGGTAACCTGGGTTAGGAATATGACAAACTATTTAGAATTATTCCTGTAAATTGTTGATGAGCAGGTTTGGGAAGTGACGAATTACATTAATTGTGTAACCGGATTACGCAATCAAATACAAAAAATGACATCATCAGATTACTGGTACATTAAATGGGGATTACTGGAAGGATTGCAAATGATGCATTAAGAAGCACACGTGCACACATTACAACACTTCATGATTCTCACAAAATCAAGTGAAACTAGTCTTGGATAAACCATAGCAAATGTTCTAGTTCAGTGGTTCTCAACCATATCGCAGAACAAAGTAAAAATAAAAAAATGACATAAACTATTATTAAATATGTCGGGTAGTAATAGATTTATTTATTTTCTTCTCAGAGTGTACCAGAATGCGTAGTTTATATGTTAGTATTTCTAAAAATCTCCTGGGGGACAATCCCCCCAGACCCCCCTTCTGGGGTTGGGTTTTCAGCATGTCATGTTTTTCACGTGTGGTGAATTTGCAGGATTGGCTCCAAGTCTGCCTTTTTATTGAATACAAGTCAAGTGTGCCTTTTTTTGTTATACAGTTCAACTTTGATTCTAGAAACGTAATGACCATCATCAGATTAAACTTTGTTTAAAAGCATACTTTAGTTCTGTGAAGGGATATAAGGATATATGCACTGTACTTCACTTTAATTACAATTGTATGCTGAATAGATTTGAGCGGTTCAAAATTGTGGGTCGCGATTTATTGACGAAGGAAAAAAGTGGGTCCCGAGGCCTGACCAGTTGAGAACCACTGTTCTAGCTCATCGTGTCTTTTCTTCTTTAATAATGTTATATTATTCTGTTGTATTACATTATACACTTAAGTAAAAGCCATCTCATTGATATGTATTTTCTCTTGTATTTATTTACATTGCTATTGAGCTAATCCTAAAAAAGTAGTTACAGAAATGAATCAGGTTAGATTACTTTATATTCCGATTCTTCGATTTAGTTACTTTTTCCAGTTATATAGTAATAATGGAATTCCTTATTAAAGTAACCCTCCCAACCTGCTTATGAGTAATGAAACATACACCCTGCCAGCGCCTGACGTGGAAATTATCGAAACAGGAAGTAGCCTTTTGTTCTGACTGTTTTACTTCCTGTTTTTCCCAGGTTTGCGTGTTAGACCTGAGGAAATGACACTCGTCAGGGGAGCCATGGACCGACTACGAATGTGTACATAGCCAAAATGACTGAGTGTCCCTGCCTGTCCGCCACACTGCTGTAGTCCCATCTCACACCATGGCCCGCCATCACATCACAGCCAAATGGAGCCCCCCCCCCCCCAACATATGTACACACGAGGACCACACCTTGGACACCTGTGCCGCTCTCAGACGTCCAGCAAACAAACATTTGTCTGTTTTGACAGACACATCACTCACACGCCCAAACACTAGGACTCCTCTCGCTTTCATCTTTTTATCCTTTGTACCTGAACGATTTTGGTTCCCTGTCGGCGTGTGCATATTGCATATGTCAGCAGATGTGTCATTGTTTTGAATTTTACTGCTACCTGCGGGTTAAATATTACATGTGGGGTGGGAGAGAAGAGGGGTAGGGCGGGGGTTTGAAAGGTATTCATCTTTTTACAGCCGGTGTTTATTAATAAGGTGTTCATTTGGAGATCCACTCATCCACTTATTGGCAACAAATGCAGATGTTTAGCTTAGAAAAGGAAAATGTTTTTTAATTCTGTGGACTATTTTTTATCCAATCCAGTTTGTTTTTTTTAACAAAGTATAAAGCAGTTAATCAAAGGCTGAACCGTCCTTTGTTTTTGCAACCTCAGAAATGGTTTTCAGGTGTTCACAACTCATCAGGTTAATATATAGAGCTCTAAAGAATTCAAAACCTTTTAGGCTGAAAGATAATCTTTGTAACAACATGTCACCAAACACCCAGGTAACGTGGCACAGGAAGAGCTTGCTTTCTGCCGTCGGTTCAGCTTCTGGGATCTGTGAACTATATCTGCTCGATGTGACGCCAACAACTAATAGTTGCTTATTTCCTCCATTTTTGGCTTCTTGCTGACATTGCTAAATGATAATCAGACCAGGCCAATGTAATGTTTCCTTTGCTTGTTGGCATCACTTTAACACATCGAGCAGTGGTTTCCAGCAAGTACACACTACAGTCCCTGCCTTTGTTTGCCGTTGATAACAATTAACACACACACACACAATCTACGCTGTGTTCCGGCCTATGCATGGACAGACAGCGCTTACTGTTTGTAGAGTTGGTGTCTTGAGGCAAGTCTGTGCTTGTTGTTAAAAAGCAGACTCGCAGCATATGATCTGCATATAACATATATATATAAATATATATCTGTGCTATCACATGGGACTCTTCTTGTATGCCACTACGCTAAGGGTAGTTTTGAAGATGCTTCAAATACAGTGTGATGTCACTGTGCATCAGCAAGGGTCTTTACCCAAGGAATGGTGTCTTCTTTTTATGAAATACCATTAAACAGTCATAGAACATTTTAAAAAGAGCAGCCATGTGAAGGGTGTTTTTTCTGCAAATTTAGAAACCGGGAGGTGTGTTTATTTAAGTCATCGTAGACACATCTAATAAAATGCTCTTAAAGGTGAATTAGAATTGCTGCAGAAAGTGTGCATTGGGTAATTAAGGCGTCCTAGGGGTTCATCATTTAGGCAGACTTTGTGGCATTCCGGTTTTCATCTCGCAGCCATAACTAGCAGCTAACGGCTTGACAAACGTGCACGTATCGTCGGACATTTCAGAGGTTTTTTCAGAATGTTAGTCGTTTTTTTTTAAACAGTACTGAAGACTATTTTAAAGTTGGCTTTTACAGTCAGCTGTGATTGGACTGTACGACAAAGACACTATTTCAAATGATGTCTATGACAGTGGAATGGTATTTTATAATGTTTTGTTTTTAGATGATAAGCTTTTTACACTGCATTCAAGTGTGTTTGCTATCTTTTGTTCCTACAAAAAATACTAACTTTAACTCTATCTTTGCTATGTCGGAGAGCCCTTGAAGGTTTTGTACTCCTCAAAACTTTTGTAATTCTGATTTATTTGTAGCTACGTACACAAAATGAAAACAAAGAAATAATTCCGGATTAAATTGTCAATGTATTATAACCTGGAACATGTAAATACAAACTTGCAGATTTCTTTTTGTTGTGTTGTCTTTGCCCTCACTTATGTTGTACTCTTTTCTCTCTCACTCACATGGTTGCAGTCTGCAGCCTCTTGATCTGACTGTTGTAATATCACTCAGATTTCAAGGTCTAGAATAAAATCTATTTTGATAATATCAATGTGTTTGGTTTTACTTTCCATGTTGCTGCACTAACAACATTTCTTATGAAGGAGTTAATATGATATGGATTGCCATCCAGTTTTCTAGTGACAAAATGTTCCCTAGAACAGTTGAGTGACATGTTATATTATATTTTATATTGTATTCATTCAACAAGTCAACAGTAAACTCACAAAGAGTAAGTATAACTACGGGAAATGTGTGTAAAATTAGCAAATTGGATGCATTTTGAGCAGATACATTTCTCTAAAATTGTAAACTTAAATTAAGGGTTTTCTTCTAACAATCAGTTATACTCTTTTGTTTTCTCAATAGTTTGGGTAGAAGCCAAATACCTTCAAAACCAAAGAAATGCATCATTCTCAGCTGTACTTTATATTCAGCGCTAACAAGCAAATGCTAGTATGCTTGCTTACATGCTAATCCAAGATAGTGAACTTGTTAAACAGTACACCTTCATAACATCAGCATGCTAGTTGCTAGCATTGTCATTGCATGCATGTTAGCATTGGTATTTTGAGCATTTAGCATTTGTATCATGAGTGCAAGCATTAGAGGTTTCTCAATACTCTAATTTCCCCTCCTCGACTCCTATCCTCGAGACTTAGTGCCGCCCACAGGAGATGCGAGCGGAGGACTGAGGAGGGGAACCGAGGAGAGAGGAGGGGAAGCAGCAGGCGGTTAGAGAAATGAGAACTCCTCTCCTCTGAGTGAAATGGGGAATTGAAATTACGGGCCAAAAGTTGTATTTACAAGTATTGAAAGTAAGCATAGGACACCAAACCAACTGAGACCCGTCTGTAGGTGTCCGCCGCATCTACGCACTGTACAACACACACACACACACACACACACACACACACACACACACACACACACACACACACACACACACACACACTGTACCACACACACCTACAGCTCCTAAAGCATAATCAGGCTACAACATAATTTTATTATGTGAAGCACTAAATGGTCTTAGAAAAATGTCGACTCTTTGTTTGTATATATCTACTAAACTACAGCAAATACAGAGAGTAATGTAGGCCTGATGAATGATATACTGAATGATATATATGTTACACACTGCTCTGCTTTCTGCACGGACCTCACAGCTGTGAGGACCAGCTGTGAGGACCTCACAGCTGTTCTCTCTGTAAACATCGCGTTGCGATGTTTACAGAGAGAACAGCTGTGAGGTCCGTGAGGTCCGACTTATCTCAGCCAATGACAGCTCTGCATGCATTAGCTGAGATAAGTCCGGCCGTGCGTCACGCCTCCACCGTTCCCGGAAATGCATCTGCGGAGGAGCCGTGGAGGAACCATCAGTGGGCCCTGTCACCATAGATATATATAAACACTAGATGACTCACCCGCGCTGCTGGCCAATGGAGACCGACGTTGCCACTTGCCCGCCATCTTGCTACAGGCAGTTCTCTCATTCATAACATTATGGTTTACTATTTAAATAACCATAGCTTGCTCAATTTTCAAACGGTTTGGTTTTTTATAAACATCAAAGATGTAGTTATGATACTGCATACTTATAATCATGGACTTTCATATGAAAATAACATTAATCAGATAAAGCAATAGCTATACACACATACACAAGGTATTTATATTAAATATTTGCCGGTGTATATATTTCCATTTATTTTTATTATATTGTTAATATTTAAAATAAATTATAAAATTAAAATACATTTATATTTTATATATAAAAATCGGTCTCATGTTACCACTCTGTAAGCCAAGAGTTGTTAATTTAGCAATGCCTTAGCTTTAAGAACAGGGACACAACTAATGACAATAGCATATGTTGGTATATTATTTAGATATTCACACCTTTATCAGAAGAACCAAACCAACATAAAATGTGCACAGACAGACCAGTTCTGTCTAATTTATCACAATTATTTTTGACATGAGATCTTCATTTTACTATACTAGTTTTGTATTTAGTTTCTAGATTTGTAAGCAAATCCAGAACCTTTGAAATATGTTATTTAAAAAAGACCAAGAATAATATAAACTGTACCATGTGTCCTTTTGTGTCCTTCTGTAGTCCATTTGTGGTTTGTCTTGTCTCACCCCGGCTGATATATCACAAAATCCACTGTTTAAATTGTTCCCTATATTGCCCCTATGCCCCTGTAAGGTGTCCTTGGGAAAGGCGGCATCCCAAAATAAATGTATTATTATTATTAAGAAGAACAACTTGGTGTGGTGTGGAGGGGATGTAGGAAGCAGGAGCAGGTGGGGAGAGATGGGGCTTCAAGGTTCAAGGTTATTTGTTTTAAATGTGTCTTGGAGATAAGGACCAGCTGCACACAATAAAATACAGTATAACACAAAACCAATAAGACACACGGTGGCACATGGCACACCAACAATCAATCATCGTCCAGCCTCAACTTTGGTATTCTTTCACAACCATGTTATGGGTTTATTAGACTGAGCAAACATAAACATATGTGGGGAACATAGTGCTGCGTCTCATGGAACATGAAGATTTAATAAATACATAGTAGGTGGCGATATATGCTCCTAGTGGTAGCGATTCGCCAGGGGCGTCGCCTGGACCTGGAAACATTCGGGGCTTAGCCCACAGTGGCGGCGCTACAGTCGAATTTTCTACATTTCTACAATTTCACATACACAATTGCGCCATCTGGTGTCACAAACGTGTGCCTGCATTAGCTTTGTTACGGCAATGCATTGTGGGAGATTCTCATAGCACCTGAGGATCACTTGAGGGTAAGGTGCCTGTATTATCTCGGTGGACAAAATGTATGTTTTTATTTTATAAGGACAATAACGTACTGTTGTGTTTGTTTAGTTTAATGTTTATTGTGTAATGCTCACAGTCACAGCAACATGTTTTTTGTGTGATTGGCTATTTGTTTTATATGATGTATCAACGTGATCATCAATAGCTAATCTGAGCACCAGAACCCAGCTCACGTGTCCTTTTATGCTGTCCATTGAAATGCAGGTATGTGAGTTTTGTACACCAGTTTATTTATGTTTAATGTTTCACATTGCTCCACATGATGCCTCGACTACAAAGTCTTCCATGTTTCTACGCTTCTTCCTCTGTGTCACAGTTTCGGGAATATCAAGATCATTGCACAGGGCCTTGGTCTTGTCATAGACCTCATGTGCTTTCTTGTTACTTCGGTAACTTTTCAGTGTGTTCTCAACTGCTGTTTTGTAATCTACTGCCTGCACCAAGTCAATTGTTTCTTTCTGCAGGTATTTGTGCAGGCCCTGAGTGGTTGAGAGCAGTGTCTGGAACATGACAGCATGTAGATGGTACCGAATTTTCAATGCTTGCTTTCCAGTCCCTTTGCTAGAGGGGCTAAAGGCTCCCTAAAGTCTTGATCAAAGCAGGGAGGTTTTTGACATGCCCAGCGAACAAGTTTAATGTTTCACATTGCTTGTGAAAAATATACTACCACTATACGATCACTGATGTTTTGTTGTTGACTGGACACTTATTTTGTAAAAGAGATAGCATGAGAGGATCTCTTAAGCAATGCAGCTCACGTGTCCTTTTTATATGCTGTCCATTGAAATGCAGGAAAGTAATCAGCTCTGAGTGATCTGTTGCCGAGGGGACACTACACCGGAGTTACATAAGCAGAGATAAAGTGCTATTTTGGGGGGAACTCACCTCCTCTGGGGTCCCCCAGGAAGATTTTTTTTAAATATTGAATTTAAAAGCATCAATCTTGTGCACTTTGAGAGCAACATTAAGAGATATGGATACATCTCTCAACACCCATATGTCAAAAAGAAATCAAAGAATCAGAAACGGGTTTATTATTTAAAAACACTTCATTTTCCAATTAAATCATAAACTATGTCAAATTATTAGAAGTTGTTAGTAATCAGATTAAACAGAACAAAGGGATGGAAGGAGGAAATAATAATCCCTCATCTCTTGCTGTTTGCGGTTGAAATTATCTCTTTTGCTGGCCAAATGGAAAGCAGTGATGTCTCACTTGCCTTGGCCCTGTATCTGCAGTCCCTAAATCAGTTCCCCAGTTACCCATTGACTCTTGTCTGTTCTGGTGTTCCTGTTCATTGTTGTCTGCATTGTTGTTCTTGTCTGTTGTATCTCCTTCTTGTGTGTCCCTTTCTCCTGTTCTCCTTTCTTCATCCTCTACTCTGTTTGGCTCATCTGTGATGACTGTGGGTAAACACAAACAAGTATGTAAGTCAATCAGTTTCCAGCTCTGTCAAATAAATGAATTTCAAGATACACACATGTGTCTTCATTAAAATGAGTGTCACCACACTGTCACAAAATGTAATACTAACCAATTGAAAATAGTTAAATTTACATTGGAAACCTCTTGTTAGATATCAGTGTTAAGAGTAGTTATCTGCCAATAGGACAGAATCATTCCTATACAAATGCAGTTTGAGTAATTCACTTAATATATTCACTTAACACTTTAATATAGTCATTTTCACTTAATACTCTAATATAGTCATCTTTCTGCATTCAACACTAAGGAAAGCTGTACAATTTGACATGATAATGAGGAAAAAAGGCCTCCGACAATGCAGATATTTTTGGATCATATCAATTTTAAGATGGGGGTCAAGGCTTAATATTTGGGAGCATAGTGTCCCTTCCCCCTTTCAGGAGCCCCACTGGATTAGCTTTGATCTGAAATATTTGTATAAAAAGCTTGTTAGCTGGCTGTCCATCTCATAATGTTCACATAGAAACTAGCTGTCAATAGGAAATATCAATCAGAAGAATTATAATTTCTTGCAAAAATCTGTCACAAAAGAGGTTGCACATTTAAATGCAGGTGTTGTTATGGCAACGTCAGTGGCCAAACACCACATTTACTGCTGCAAATACGTTCAAACATGCTGTCGACGTAAAGCAGTGGCAACTATGCCACCATTTCAGTTGACTTTTTCTCAGAAAGACTGTCACATAATATCCATATATTTCAGTGCTAGGTTGATGCTTAGCTAAGCTAACTATGAAACACTTTAACTGACAGGACTCCGGATCAACTGTGTACTGTAAGGTAGCTTCTAGCTTCATGTCGAACACTGACAGTAAGTCAACATTTCCCAGAGAGCTTTCTTTGAAATCACCAGGTAACGCTAAAAAACACAACATTTAGATTGTATGACAAAGTGTTTATTTAATATATCTGGCTAGCTATAGCTACTTGCTAACGGTTTAGCTTACCCGCGCGATTCAAAGTAACGTCAACGTGGCTATAATTTATGCTTTGCTTACATGTTGACATAACTTGTAAGTTTACTGACATGTACATACCTTGTTCACCTGGCTCAGGTGGTGGCTCTGGGGTTGTTGTGTGAGCCACCATTTGAGAATTGCCGTCTTTTTTATTAAAAAAATGTCTAATGTCCATCTTCAGAAACTCCGCGTCCGCGGCTGAAAGTTTAAACACTGTCACAGAGGAGAGGTACGTACCTGTCACTGTCAGCCAATAAAACAAGTTTATTTCCATGCAACTCTCTGATTGGTCTGGTGGTGTCTTGCCTCTGTTGCATTCACTGAACACGGGAAATTACAATCCTGCCGTCCTCTAGGTAAAGTACGGTTAATGTATTATATTATTGAGGGAGAATTTGTCCGGGGCTAAAGAAAAAACATCCGGGGCTTTAGCCCCGGATGCCTACCCCAGGCGAGGCCCATGCGATTCGCCATTAAACAAAGAAGAAGAAGAAACATCAGGGGGAAAGAGAGGGAGACACACAAGCACCCACTACGGGACGTAACACATGTTGTTACGTTCCCTCTTGGCGAGGGGTACAAAGGGAAACGACACGACCAGAGTAGAATTGGTATGTGTTACCAGCAGTTTATTTGTAACTGCAAGTAAGTAAAATGATATGCACAAAACAGATTGGCCCAACAACGGGTCAAACTGTTACTGTCCTGTCACAGGAAACAAAACCGTCCCTTCTTAGGGCGAGTTCCCACTGCCTCCTCCTCTCTTCGGTTTTGGGAAACCTTAAAAACATGAGAAAGGTAGCCAGATATATAAATTATTGTCAACATTTTCCTCCCTTCTTTCCTTTAACATTAAGGGTAAGGACAAAAATACACACCGAAATTATCATATTTTTGGTATGTATGTATAGCCTACTTTAAGAATAAGACAACCACACTAAGAGTAATAAAAAAGGTGTCCAAAAGAAACATTAAATAATTGTGTAAAGAAATGGTAACAACATATTCTAAAGAGAATGGGTCAACAACAATCTTGCAATACTATTATCTCACATAGCCCCACTGATCCTGTGTAGCAGGACTTGTAATGTCCACTAAGTAATTAACGATTATCCTAATTGTAGTCATAATATTGTCATATCTTACACGTGAAAGGTGATCCCACGGGTTCTTGTTTGCAGACTGCGGTGATTAGAGCATCCGTAGGCTGCACAAAAGTCCGGCATAGTCAGGTACTTCTGTAAACACAAAGCCAGCAAATTCCTGTATCATAATGCAAGATGTTTTTAACAAGCCAAACCACTTGGAAGAAATCATGTGTAACTTAAGTTATGTTGAAAAGAAAGAGCAGTTCTGCCTCTCCCACTGGTGTAAAGTTGCTGGGTCAACTTTGTAATACTAGGTCTCACTCACAGCCTCTTGTTATTAGCCAGCTAATAAATACAACCACATACACAAAGAAAAGCTGCAATTTCAACATGTCCAAGCATCCTGTATCATAGCCATGCTAATAATGTTTATAATAAACCAAACCGTTTGTAAATCAGTCAAGATTTCAGCGAGTTAAGAGTATTTTTGTGCAGATCACTCACCTTACAACAGCTACATAACGCGAATCAGAGTAACTGTTAACTGTAGCAAGATGGCGGCCGGTCAGCTACGCTGGAAAATCTCCCATGAGCCATCTAGTGTTTATATATATCTATGCCTGTCACTACCCGATCTGCAGCTCTGCCCGATCTGCAGTGCGCATGTGCGAGATGGTCCGCCATATTGGACAACGCCGGACGGCATCCCAAGTAGGACAACATTGACACAGTGGCTTTTGGCAAAGCTCAAAAGGAAAACACGAGAGAGATGAGTTATTGTTATTACAACGTGACTTCACTATTATTTAACAACTCTTTTTATTGGGTTATTTTATTTGGGGTTAAGTACATTGTCAGAATAAGTGAGAAATTAATTTATATGCCATACATTTTTGCACACATTCACAGTAAATATTTATTCAGTATGATAGCTGTCTAACAGAAGTTAAATCCATTTCTCACTTATTCTGACAATGTACTTAACCCCAAATAAAATAACCCAATACCTCTATGGTGGACTCCATGCAGTGCCATTCATCTCACTAACTGTGAACAAGAGTGAATGCACTTATTTTATACATGTGCCATAAGATCAGGGGCGGCGCCAGGGGGGAGCTAGGGGGTGCTGAAGCACCCCCCAGGATTGCCAAAGCACCCCCTAAGCACCCCCAAGAAATATGTGTTTTTTTTTTTTTTTTCGAAAATTATTATTATTATTAAATTAAATTAGAAATATTATTGATTACATCAATGCATATGTGAAACAAACACATTTTTGACCAAAAACATAAAGCCAACACAGGTGATATGATTAGGCCAATGGTCAGCACCCATTCGATTTTTGACCTACCCATAGGCTACATTACTTTGTGACACTTGATTGACTTCCTGTTAGCTAGAGCGCCAATGATTTGCTAACAGCAAAGTGAAAAATTGATCGTTTTTTAGTCCTTAAACGACCACGTGTGGACACTCAATCAAAACCAACTGAAAGCGAGAGGGATTCTGCACATAATAGGCCTCGTGAGTACAAGTAGCTTACTTCTGGGTCTCTGTGGTTCAGTTCAAGCCCTGCTCTGTGTGTGTGTGTGTGTGTGTGGTGTGTGTGTGTGTGTGTGTGTGTGTGTGTGTGTGTGTGTGTGGTGGTTGGTGTGTGTGTGTGTGTGTGTTGTGTGTGTGGTGTGTGTGTGTGTGTGTGTGTTGTGTGTGTGTGTGTGTGTGTGTGTGTGTGTGGCACGAGCAATTTTGTGTGCGTGCGTGCGCGAGCGAGCGAGAGAGCTCGCTTCGCGCAGCAGTGGGTATCTACCGGAGATCGTTGTGGTTAGCATCTGGTGCTAGCTAGCCAAGCTAATGGATATAAGGAGCTTTTTCAACAACAAGGTGGAGGGAGAACTCTCTCCTGTCAGACGGAGAGTCTCAGGTAACCTCAACTCAGGTGAAGTAAAGGACTCTCTCAGTGTTTAGATAGTTAACTTTAGTCTAGTTATCTCAGTGGGTCTCAAACGGTTTGTTTTAAAAGGGGAGTGATTTGTAAAATATCTATAAAGAAATAGAAAATCTGTTGACAGTTCTGTTTCGTATGGGTGTTGAGATGTATCCATAGATCTCTTAATGTTGCTCTCAAAGTGCACCAGATTGATGCTTTTAACTTAAATATGTAACAACAAATCTTCCCGGGGGAGCTAGCCCCCGGACCCCCCTAGAGGAGGTGAGGTCCGCTCCCCACTTGTAAAAATAGCACTTTACCCCTGCCTATATGCCGTGAGCTGATTATCGAGCCTTCATTGTAACAGTCGCGGGTGCACTGTGTGTGTGTGCGTGGGGAGTGTTGCAGTAGAAAATTCAACTGTAGCGCTGGTGCATTAATGGGAAACCCTAAATGTTTGAGCACCCTCTATGAAACGTCAAGCTACCCCACAGCACCCCCTAGAGAAAATCTCTGGCGCCGCCACTGCCTACAGTATCTATGTTTATTATAACATTTTTCTGCGTGTCAAAATGAAAGACAGCCCACACACCTATCAATCATCAAACAGTGGGGTCTTAATTCATTACGTGTTGATTTCTATCAACAGGGGGGGGTCGGGGGGAACGGCGGCTAGTGGAGTACTTCGTGACCACAGTGTGAACGTTGTGATCAGCTGTTTTAGCGCAGTTCTCCAGTGAAGGGGGGGGAGTCTCCCTCCGCAGTCGGTTGGCGTAGTTTTGGCACAATAGACCTATCGCTAAACCACGCCCCAAATAGAATTTGTTCTATCATATCACAGCGAAAATCCCTCCTGACAGAAAACTCGGACATCACCAGAAAAGCCAAACCAAAACCAGACGTCTGTGATCGAAACCACTGTGAAGAGTTCAGTTTCTATGTTTATTATCTAGCTAATATCTGATGGTGAAACGCTGTGCGTGGGGTACCTGTAATTTCGGACACCAGGTACCCTGAAAGACTGGATGGAGGAGTATATTTCGTACCTTTTCCGAAGCCCAAAAGAAAACTCGAGAAATGCAAGCGGTGGATTATGCTGTGTCGTCAACCACATACACAACTGAATGTGAAGACAATTATCAAGGACACTTATGTTTGCTCAAAGGTAAGGTCAATTCATAAAGACATCATATTTGACGGTATGTATTAGAAACGTAGACCAAACTATTAGTTTGCTAACGATTGACTTTGACTGCCAACTAGCTAGCGTATATCCAGCCCAGCTAGCTAACGTTAGCTGCCAACTTGTTAGCCAGCTAACTAGCTACAGTGTTATCAACATCAACGTTTGCTGTCTGACTTTTCGTCCTCGCTAGTTAGCTGGTGTTTTTAGCTAACTTTAGCTAACTGTCTTTTCACCTCAAAGCACTTCAGAGATGGGAAGCCAACTCTGGAATATCAGATCCCATCCGGGCTCTCGTGTGTGCTGCTCCGAAAAGACACAGACCCTCACCCAAAAGAAGGTAACGCTACAGTCAGCCAGGTGCATAACAGTGAAAATGATGACCAACAAGGACAGTTATAGTTATAGATTTAATGTAGTGACCACCACTGCTAACATTCAACATCATATTATCATTTCAATGGTTACACAACAGTCACCACTACACACGACAGGCAACAAGATTAGATATTTTATATAAAGAAATACATGGCTACCTTTTTACTCTTGCTTTTAACTGTTAACTTTCATCTGCTGTTGCTTTTATTAGCTCTTGCTTCTATTTTAATGTTATTTTAACTTGAACTCCCCCAGCGGCCATTGTCAAGAGTCATTCACGGTCGGCTTTGTTTGTCCGAGTTTTCAAAGGGGGCGTGGCTTAGCGATAGGTCCGTTGTACAGACCGACGTTAACAGCAGCCCTGTCTGTGCACACGGAGACCGACTCTGTCGTCTGGTGATCTTCACAAGTACGTCGGTACGCAAATGCGCTTTGTGACACAAGTGACGGTACGCATTTCAGATTACTCACATAACCTGCGTACCAGTTATGTGCACCCCTGTAGGCCTACTACAGCAAATGTATTCTCCGTCGGGACTTCCTGCAACAACACCACGCCGTTATCAAAGATGTTCTATTGAGAAGACGATCACTACGTGACAAAAGTTTTCAAAACCGTGGCTACTGAAATCAATCTTACTAACTGCTGTCTGTGCAATTTACTCCGCGCGAGTTGGCAGACTATATTTTGCTTACTTTAACATCATTTTTCATGGTGGGGCTAAACTATTTCTTGGTATGGGTGTAGCCTACCCCAGCCATACCCTGGCGCTGCCACTGGTGGCACGTATGGGGCGGGCCATTCTGCACATGCGTTAAATGCGTTAAATATTTTAACGCAACTAATTCAAAAAATTAATTACCGTCGTTAACGCGATAATTTTGACAGCACTAGTTAAAATGTATCATTCTTTAAAAAAATTGCACAATCAACTGAATCAAGTTCTGCAAACATGAGTTTCCTGTGAGAAAGTGTGCACACAAGCAGGGACGTGCACAGACATTTTGGGGGCAGGTGCTCAAGTGAGAAAAAGGGCACTTCCCATAATCATTTATAAAAAAAGGTTTTAAAACAAAAAGTTAAATATACACAGCAAATACCAAAGTGTTAAAATCCCAGAGTACTGATGACCAGAGTAGAAATGTTTACACTTTGGAGTAGAATGGACATAAAGTACACTTCTCAGAGTGCACCAGAACCTCTCTTTGGTGTTGTTTCGTGGTGTTGGTGTTGACTTGTGTAGTGTTTATTCTGGGGTGATGGACTCCCTCAGAGTATATCTTTGCATTGAGTCTGTCTGGTCCGCATCGATCTTAGGTTTCGATTCGTCATCAGATAGGCCGCGCCTCCCATTGGTTTAATGCAGCCTCGTGACCCTCGGCTTTTTGAAAATATTCTCCAGGAAAAGCGCGACCGTGACCGTTACAGATTGATGCAAGATTTATACATCCATGGATCGAACACAGCAACATTTCTCCGCAGGACTGTAACGTTAGGTAAGTAGACACAGTGGCGACTGGTCATTAGGGGCAGGTGCTCCACCTAGTGTCAGCAGAAAGTATTAAAATAATGATTACAACAAAATGCAAAAAATAAATTTAAATATATGTTAAGATCATGTTTAATCATCTGATTCATCTGTACATTGCTGTTTTAGTATGTGTTCTTCTAATTAGTGTCTACAGTGTGTGCCTATTGAGCTGTTTAGAGCCATGTGGGACAAAACCCGATCCTGCCCCTCACTGTCTAAGTGAACGGTGACTGTAAAAACTACACTGCGCATGCTCAGAGTATTTTCCTATTTAATGTGTGTGGCAAAAAATAATGACCATAGGGGCATAGTGCTGCCATCCCCACCATACGTCATCTCACATCATTCAGAGCTGATTGGCTGTAAGTACGTGTGCCGCGAAAAGTGTGGTGTGTGTGAAGAGGAGGAGAGAGACGCGTCCTAAAACCAGGAAGTAAGCTGTGCATTGCTTCCCTCCACAAAAAAGCAATGAGATTTCTCCATAGAATTTTAGAAAATAGCTCAAAATAAGATCTGTGGGAAACGTACCTGTTAGATAAATGCACGTTTTGTTCAGCCAGATAATATCCTACTTTTATCATTTTCGAATCATAAATCTATCGATTAG